TGTAATGGTATGTGTTTACAGAGCTGGCTTAGGATCATTCGATATTTTCATTGAAAACATGAAAGAAATAATCGATTAAATTCATGAAAATTTCACTACATTTAAGGTTATACTATGTGGAGACTTTAATATCAACTTGCTTGAAGACAACGTATAAACTAAGGTATTTTTAGACTTACTCCTCACTCACAATAACATAACGCAAACTATTTTTGAACCTACCAGAGTAACAAATATTTCATCTAGGTGCTCTATTAGATAACATTTTTGAAAATTTTGATGACTATGAAAAAAATCATGATTTTAAATACTGCATTATCTGATCACTATGGACAAAAATTAAAGCAAATGAAATAAAATGGATTAAAAAAAGAATATTCTCAAAAAATAAAATTATTCAGTTCAAACAGGATCTCGCTCAAATCCTATTTGACAAACAGAACTCAACATTTGATTGAAAATGACATCTCGGGGATAATTAAATCATAATCAATTGTGATAAAAAAAGGGTGTGCCACAGGGATTCCTCTTAGGCCCATTATTATATATACTGAACACAAATTAAATACCAAATGTAGTTAATGAAGATAGTGTATTATATGCTGATGATATATCGGTCATCGTAAAAGAAAAGATCTCTCAGTTGGTCATAACAAAGACAACAAATGTGCTAGATGTATTAAACAATTTCCTCACAGCAAATGACCTACTACTGTATATTGACAAAACTCAAATAATTCATTTCGCAAATAGATCCTTACCAGAGTTGAATACCTTTGAATATAATAATCAAAATATAAACAAACATATGCAATCAGGTAAAATTTTTGGGACTCTTGATAGATAGGAGACTGGACTGGAAAAATCACATAGACTACTCATCAAAAAATATATAATATGGCGTCCGCAAACGAGCAAGTGATAGTGACCAGTGAATTAAACAAATTAAAAAAGAATGAGTTATTGAAATACTGACCAATTTCAAGTTACCAGTGAGTGTAACAAACGTTGTATGGATTATTTATGTGACAAACTTAAGCGAAAAGTGCAGTGCATCCGCGAAAAGTGACTTATTCGTGGAAAGGCAAGAATCCACCGAATGTAAACATTGCAGTGAACACAGACTCATACTAGAAACTCAAACTAGGGAACTCCCAAGCTGTAAGTGAACTTTCATATCATCTTGAGAAAAGGACACAGGAGCAAGAAGACAGAATATTCTTGTTAAAACAAAACAATAATTATTCGTTATCAGGTATCGAGCCATTGAACAAGAGAAACAATTCAAATCGCCAACAAGAAAATAACAGTCCAGAGGTACCTGAGGAATTACAAAAAACATTTGCGACGACGGTGAAAGGAAGTACCGCAAACACAAATGAGATCCAACCAAAAAAAGTGAGTGTTCCAGAAGATAAGATGGGGCATTCACCTTTATCTAAAAAAAGAGGGACCAACAGATATAAACCGTAGTAATATTAATAGTACAGTCAAGATCGTCCCACGAAAAGACTTTCTGCATGTTTATAGAATTGCACCAGAAATGAATTCCAGGAATCTTAATGAAATTCTCAAAATCACAGCACCAACCATAAACTTTGAATGTGAAGATCTTAACCGTACGGAGAGAACTACTACTTATAAAGTATCTTTCCCCATAGAAAAGGTGTCCGAAGTATACAATCCCGAAATTTGGCCAGCAGGAGCAGCGGTCCGAATATTTGAATTCCGCAAAAATTTTCGTCCTACGGAAAACGCAATCCAAGAAAAGTAAAATCTATTATTCTGAATGACAGGCAGTGCTTATTAAATATAGAACATATCAATATTCAATGTCTAAGCAATAAAGTCGACCAACTATCTTTACCAACAAGAGGCCGAGTTTAATATATGTTGCATATCTGAGCATAGGCTTGACCAAGCTTAAATTCAGTTTGTTAGTATTAAAAATTTCGAACTAATTTCCCAATCCTGCAGAGAGACAAAAAGGCATGGCGGCGTAGCCAGATTTGCTAAATCGGATATTAACGTCGAGTCCATTGATTCCATTCACTCAGAATTTTGTGCATTAGAAATAACTGGCCCGAAAATTCTGCTTATCACTCTATATAGAGCATGTATAGAAGACCCAGCTGGAAACGGCGGGTGAATAATTACAGGTTGGAAGAATTTAAAAATTCTCTTGATAAAGTTGACTGGGTTTTTTTTTAACAAGCAGGAATACTCAGATCCTAATGTTTTAATGAACACTATGACACAAACCTATCAGAATTTGGTAACCAAACACTTTCCCTTAAAAAAAGTTGAGAAGTAGAATAAACCACCCGTCGAATGGTTTAACCAAGAACTCCGGCAAATGAGAGAAACATTATCAAGGTTGAAAAGTGTATGTGACGTAAGTAAAAGGGAAACTGATAAGGGCATGTTTAATGGATTAAAAAAAAGTACAGGAACACTATTAAACAAACCAAAAAAAAGGGATATGACAATTTCATTGCAAGCTCGGAAACCAAGGCTAGGGATAGTTGGAAGATTATAAATTATGAAAGGAATGCCTCATCCAAAAAATCAGGGAATGTTCATATAAATGCTGATGTTTTTGTCGACTTCTTTGTCACCGTAGAAGATAACCTGATTAATTCACTCCCTCTTAACAACACCGAAGTTACGCAGTTTCTGAAAGATGTCCCAATCCCAAATATAAACACTTCTTTTTTGGCTGATGCAATGAAATCTTTAAAAAATACACATACTTACGACTTTCACGATTTAAACTCTCACATCATAAAGGAGACTATGCACTTTTTGATAGAACCCTTGACCGGCATTATCAATGCGTGTTTTAGGGATGGAGTTTTTCCGGATATCCTCAAATTATCAAAAGTTATTCTTATTTTCAAAAAAGGTCAACCCCTGGTAATTACAGACCAATTTCAATAATTCCAGTTCTATCTAAAATAATAGAGAAAATAATTAAAATCAAGCTGACAAAGTATTTCGAAAAATACGGTCTATTGCACGGAAATCAATAGACATTGTTATTCGAATGTATCTGAATCTCATAATCATAATACAAGATCAGCGAATCTTTTCAAAATACCTTTTTATCGACTTGACGTGTCCAGGAATAACTCACCTAAACTGCAGTTATACAACAAGTTACCAACTAGTTTCAAACAACTTCCTCTAGGATTATTTAAGAGAAAATGCAAAGTACTATTTTTAAAGTTTTGTTTTTATTCCATCAATGAATTTCTCAAAGCTCCTTGGAACGACAACTCCATTTGATATTGAGGTTCAGTGTGATTTTTAACAATTTTAGACAATTGTATAGTACATACTCTTTCTTTTTTTATATACTTGTATTATAGGTGTTTTTTACTATTTGTCGTGTAAGATGAGCCTATGGAGGTATATGTATATTCATGTGTTTGTGTGATTTTTCTATTTACAGTGGAAACATTGATCCTTCTATTTAAATTGTACACTACTTCAATTCTTGTTCCGAAAGGTGGTACACTGACTTGCTACAAATGTATTGTATGGATATGTAACGTGGCCAATAAAGTTTTATTCTATTCTATTGCAAAATATTGATATGCATTGAGAATACTGTCGGAACATGTCTCAACCGAAGCTGCCCTCTCTGACCATGCTTATATTCAATCTAGGATAAAATATGGAATTATTTTCTGGGGAAACTCTGTTGATATCTCTAGGATACTCATACTATAAAAAAATATATCAGGTATATCTATAAGATGAAAAAAACGATAGCTGAAGAGAAGCTTTTATTAGGAGCAAAATTTTAACTTTGATAAATCTCTATATATATATTGCGGTTAACAATGGGTTTAAAGTCGAATTAATAAACAAAATACTTGCCAAGAAACTCTACGCAAAAGCGATTCGAGACGTTTTT